TAGCCGGCCCTGTCGGCGTACACCACCGGGCAGTCCCCCGGCACCGCCTGCTTGCAGGTCTCGCAGCGCTGCAACAGAGAGGCACCGGCGTGAGCGTCGGGCAGGACGCTGAGCACACGGGGTGGGTATTTACTCCTCGGACGTGCCGACTCACGGCCTCTTTTCAGCGCGCCGTTCTCAACCGCGCGGCTGGTGAGAAGCACCGTTAGCCGCGCACACCACCACGATCTCCAAGCACGGCCTCAACGCTTCCCACTCCCACATAGCCTGAAGGACCCACTGTGCTCCTGCCTGACATCCCAAAGCACCACGGAGGGCAGTGGAATTAAATCACTTAATTCCAGGACTGCTAAGCTGTGTGGCTTCGGTTGTTTTCGTTTGAGCCCTTGTTCTGTGAAGGGCAACTTGGGAACACCAAGGCCAGGTTTTACAGCTGCATCAGCTTGGAAAGCCCAGCAAACACACCAGTCCGAAATGAGAAACAGCGCAGCGAGGTGGAAGAGCAAGGAAACACTGGACTGAAGAGAAAGCAATGGTGACAGGTCGAGAAAAGTGCTGGGAAAACCATCTCAGTTGTGCGGCAGGACTCAGACACCACAGACAGCATCATCACAGAGCACTCGTGGCCAACAGAACCAACACCTCCCAGTCTCTCACTCCACGTCCTGCGCAAACATTCGGACTGGTGCTACCTATGGACACAGTGTCACACTGCAATATAATTAAAAGTCGTTATAAATACATATTTGCCAGCCTTCACCTGGGATAGTGTTTACTTTCTTCCAGCCAGAGCCTCGGGCAGGTAAGCACAGCACTGCCCACCATCAGGTAAGTGTCCAGTCCTTTGGACACCCTCCATGCTGAAATAAAATCCAAAGGTTTTCCGAGAAAGAGTTAAGACATCCTACGGTGCCGGAGCGCAGTGTATCAAAGGCGTTATTTTGTATAGAGGTGAGGACTTTTGTTCTTTTCTCACTGTTTTTTGATACATACATCTATGCCTAAGACAGATGTCACTCTACAGACCTCAGCTCAGGGCTTTCAATTTATAACAGCCCAAAGAGACACAATTAGACTCGGTTAATCTGAAGATTAATTGCCATCTCTGCGCATTGCACACAGGACCAACTGGGTTCACTCTTTATCTCTGCCCACAGAGCGATCCTGCGACTAGTTAAGGGCGAGCGTTCAAGCTCTCCTCTCTGAAGCCGACAGCTGATGGCTCTTGTTTAAGTTCCCAGCTAAGTCTGGACAGGCCAGGTCAGGCGAACAGCTCCGAGCCTGTGCTCTGTCGCTGCCTAGAAGCAACGCTCTTCAGTAGCAGCTGGAGTCTCCTCCAGCAGAGCCCTCGGCGGCACGGCCAGGCTTCCCCAGCCATCCCCGCAGCAGGCTGGCTGAGGCTCCAGGAAAGCGAGGCGCAGCGAGACGCAGCCGGCGTTAAGCTGCTGCGCCCGACCAGGGCGTCTGCACAGCGGCGTCCCCCCCTCCAGCATCGCCCCCTCTCCAGCACGCTCCAGGCAGCACAGGGTCGGGAATTTCCTTGTGCTCAGACGATGACTTCGCTTACGAACGCTCCGATTATAAGTGAACGAGCTTCTAATAGGGGGGTAGAAGAGACACAACAGTAAAATTTCTCAGCAGAACTAACCGTTCCTGAGCTGCAGGACACCAGGGATGGGGCAGGCACAGAGGAGGGGGACCCCCCACGGGGCAGCTGTGGTCCAGGTCCTGAGGAACAAGAGCCTGACGCCACCACGGCACGGGGAACCCTGCGCTGGGAGTGCAGGACCCCCCGGTGATCCTCCCTGCGACACCCCAGGGCAGCAGCAGCAGAAACAGCCTCTCTGGGGGCACAGAGCTTCTCTGGGAGCTCTGCAAACGTCACACTAAAGACAAGCTCCCCACCACATCCAGCCCTTTGCTCATTCACAGCCCGAGGGCTAAAAAGACTCTTCTTTGCACCTCGGGAGTTTTCTTAAACTCACTTCTCCCTTTACAGAGCAGGCGGCCACAGGCCCATCTACACCCACCAAGTGGCCGCTCCTCGCCTTGTCGCCATGATTTCCAGCACACCACGCGTTGTGCTATCGCCTCCTCCTCCGTTCAGTCTGGATTTTCAGGAACTGCCCCCCCCGTGCCATCCTGGGAGCGGTTCCACCGCGCCGACGGGCATCTCCTATTTTACCAGGAAAGCCAGCACGATGAGCAAAGGCAGCGCGAGAGGAAAGACAAAATGTTTCCTGGCTTGGCTTTCCTGCGCGTCTGAAAGGGGATCTGTCTGCTCTGCGAAGGGCTTCAGACGCGTCGCTGAGCGCTCCCCAGGCCAGGAGTGCCCTCGGGCGGCGCAGGAGCCGCGCCGCTTCGGGACTGTGCGAGCCAGAGAACGAGAAGGCGAAGGTGCCACACTCGGCGGGGAGCGGCCGGCAGAGCACTGCTGCCAGCACACCGGTGAGGGCAGACGGGCACCGATGAATTCCGCACCCGTCCCGCAGGACTGAGGCTGTGTTTCTTCCCCCATGCCCCGATACCTCCCCAAGGCACCAGATTCGGGTGACTCCGGGCACCGGAGCGCCCAGCCCTGCAGCTGCCTCCACACTGGCACCCCCAGAGAAACGGCCAGGCCCATCCAACCCAGCCCTGCTTATCTTGCAAGATCTGAGAGAGAGAACAAACACGAGCAGCTTTCCAACTCCCAGCTCAAGTTTCTTGCCAGTAAGAACTGTTAGAAAAACATCTTATTTTGCTGTTTCTTTCTGGGGCAATTATTCACAGGGCTCTTCCTAAGCATCACATAACTTCCATCCCCCTGCCCTTTCCACAATTTAAAAAAAAAAAAGTCTCTTCAAATTTAAGATGGGATTACAGCTGGGTGCTCAGTTTACATCTCCATCGCATTGGGAGCAGAGTGAAGACTTTATTAGCAGTTACCAGAGGTGTCAGCCAAGAAAGTGTCCCTGTCTCCTAAGCTTTGTCAAAGTTGCTCTCTCCCCTGGCTGTTGCTTTGCAGTGCGAGCTCCCACAGAAGGAGCTCCCCAGCCACCACGAGGCTTCCCCTGAGCACTCACTGCATGGCTGGCCTCAAGCTTTTTGGGACAATGGCTCGTTTTGATCAACTGCCTCAGTATTTGATTCGATTCCAACACTGCAGCTTATAACACCAGAAGACTTTCTGGTTCTGAGGGGGTTAAAGATGATTTTACGCTTGGTGGAGAACATTCAGCTCATAGGACAGACTTACTACAGTGCTGGGGCCCCTCTCTGCAGCCCAGACAAGTTCAAAAAGCTATTTGAGCTCAGATGCCTCTCTCCTGGTGATTTACATCAGCCCTGTATGTTTTCCTTTACACACCAATTTCAACACAGCTGGCCTGGGTGTGCAATAAGAGGTTTAACAACCTTTGCACAGGGACCACACAAACACCCAAGGAATCATTCCAGCTTGTTTCTTGGTGCAGCTTTGGTGCTTTCTGGGTTTGTTCTCTTCTACAGCAAGGGTAGTGGAGGTTTTTATTAGTGTTCCCCATCCCCCCCTCCAACCTTCAGAAACCTATAGTTCAGACTCACATCTTGATCTGAATTAGGGAGAAATCAAGCTGCTGGTGCTGATTAAGAGATTTGGTATTTAATAGATTCAAATCTGTCCCCTACTTCCAATGGACTTAATGAAGAAACATCACACAAACTGCCTGAGACTCAGGATCTCCAAAATAAGCCATTCAGCACCCTGTTTTCCCCTATGCCCCTGAACCAAAGGCACTCGTATTGTCTCAAAAAGCTGCATATCTTCTTTTCACTGCTGCAATCCTGCTGAGGATGCCCTGGCACGGCCCCAGGCAGGCTGGTGGCACTGGTGGGCATCACCTGCAGCATCCCAGAGAGCAGCAGTGGAGGGAGGCTCGGGGGAGCTTCCTCAGTCTTGTGAGCAGGCGTCGTGTTTAACAGCCAAGTTTTCAGAGACACACAGGAGATGGTCACACAAGGGGAGAGGTACCTAAACCTCCACATCTGGAGTGCGCTCATCTACATTTCAACCCTGACTAAATCGACAACATTAAAGCCTCCACTATCGTTGGCTTCATGCACTTCAGTTCTCAGGCCCTTTACATCCATTCTTTGTCTTCGTACAACTCCTTCTGCTCACATCTGCGTTCAGCCTCACACATACTGCAAAGTAAAGCGCTTATCTCGTTTTTCTACAGCAGAACTTCTCTTCCAGTGAGGTTTTGCGAAAGCCAATAGACCTTCTGGAGGTTTAGCACATTTCAGATCTTGGACACAGCCCAGTCGTAGCCGGTCAGCTGCACTAATTCCTGCATGGGAGATCGAATTTAAAACGGGTGGTGTTTTATGGAGGGGGAAGCAGGAGCTCTGTTCAGTCCGCCGGGAGCTGAGCGGCACAGTGCGCTGGTCAGAGTGGATCTCCTGCAACCGCTTGTGAAGCTGTTCCATTTTTCAGCTAGCGCCTCTAGAAAAATGGTGCTTTAAACTACAGAGAATAACATCACAGTTATGTATTTATTTGGAAGGACAAACTTGCAGTCTAAATAAACCCTCATTGCTAAGATGACTTTTATTAATGAGTTTAATGGAAACCTTCCTTTTTTGGCAATTTTTTTAGCTTAAAATTCTTTTTCCAATTCAGTATTTTGTTGCAATACTGAAAAACTTTTACTATATCACCAAACCCTGAAAGTCAGATGCACATTAATAGAAAAGGCCCTAGCAGAGGGGAGACATTACCCAATATGGAATGAAAGTGAAAACTGCTCTTAACATGTTACAACCTCAGTGCAGCAATGGCTAGAAAAATCTTGCCTTAGAAACACTGACACCTTTCTTTTTTCCCCAGCTTTAAATCCTCTGCTGCAAGTCATCCTCACAAGGGCCAGTATGAAATATTTTCACTCGCCATATTTTACGATGAGCGTTTGTTCAGCAGCTACAATTCTCCCAGACAGTGCTGGAAGAATACAAGTGTAGAAGGGTATTAGGGAATCCCAATTATTTCCCTGTGGAAACGTATTTTTATGCCCAGAGACAGGCATGGTCTGTTCAAAGCCCCCCAGAGTGATTAGAGCCCTGGGAGCACTATCTCTATGTTCACAGCTTTGCATTCATTACACTGAGCCATCACCTCCTGGCACTCGCAGTCTTTCCACTTGCACCGGTCTGGAAGCTTAGCTGGAAGTACTCACTCTGAAACTGTTTCTGATCTTGAGCACCTGATTGATGCACAGTCATCCAGGGACACGTCACGCCCAATCTGTCAGAGCTGCCAAGAAGCCAAATACGCAATTCCCAGCTCCTACAGCTAATGGAAAGTTTACTTACCTTGGTGGTTCACACAGCCTTGGCTGCGGAGGGAGATGGTGAAGAGGAGATAACCCACCCCTCCTCACCCCTTAGATGGGCACTTGTGCTCAGCAGGAGCACACGAGGGGTCCCAGCAGGCTCTCTCACAGCGCAGGACCAGAGCACACCGTGATGCAGCCAAGCATCGCAGCACCGCTCCGGGAGTTTGTCGAAGCGCTGCAGCGGACTGGGAGAAGCCCACAGGAGCGGCATTGCGAGCAAGGAACAGATAACCCCGGCTGCTGCAACCTTCCCCCCACCGCTAGCTGAGACTGAGTCTGTCCCCTGAAAGCCCCCCAAACCCAGAGCCGAGCCGGGACACCCCCGCCAGCCCGTCCCGCCGCCGGAGCGCAGCACTCACGTAGGGCCCTCCGGCAGGCGCGCTCTCCAGGGCCCCGTTGGTGGACTCGGGGGGTTTGCTGGCGGGGGCGCGCTTGTT